AATTATTTGTTATTATTAAAGTTTAACATTATAAAATTAACAAAAATAATATAAAACTCGTATCCTGGTGAAATAGCCACATGGCAGTGTTGGGACCAGAATTGCCACTGAGAGACCACCACACACTATGTAAAGACAAAAAGTGCTTTATTTTGCAAGCATATGCCTGGGCCACTCTTCCCTTCAGCTTGGTTGGAGGAAGGGTGACCTCCTAGTGAAGCAAGCTGAGATTTTTAAAGGGCATAGAGGAATTTCACTGGGTGTTTTATCCACCCAGGGTGCTATTGGCTGAGCTGTTTATGGTTAGGGACCCCCTGTGGGGGCTACTTGTTTGTTCCAGACAGTTTGGCTCCTTCTGAGCTAATTGTCTTTGCCTAGAAGTGAGGGAGGGAGCCAGTCTGCTTCTGATACTGATTCCACCTGAGGGACCTTGCCCAGGAGGGGAGTAGGGAGTTTATGTTAGCCTTTTCATTTCCAAAGGAAGTTACATTAACCTCTACATTCCCAAATGGAGTTACATTAACCTTTTCAGCAGCCAAAAACCATATATTCCCTTCCTGTTCTCCTGCTGTTCCCTAGCTTGTCGTGCATTCTTTCCAAAAATTGGGACTTTTTAAAAACACTGCAGGAAGCAGGACAAAGTGTTAAAAATTGGGACTGTCCCGCCAAAAGCAGGACATCTGGTCACCTTAAACTACGTATATTTTAAAGCAAAGTATCCTTGGTCCTAGAGAAAGACAGACCTGGGTTTTAAAAAAAGGACAAAAAGCGTATTTATCTGGTAAACTTATGTACACATATTTCAAGAAGGCAGAGAAAAAATTTACACATTTTTTTCTTTTGGAGACAGAGCCTCACTGGGTCATGCTGGGTAGAGTGCCATGACATCATAGCTTACAAAAACCTCAAACTCTTGGGCACAAGAGTTCTCTTTTTTTGCAGTTTTTGGCCTAGGCTGGGTTTGAATCTGCCACCTCTGGTATATGGGGCCAGCACCCTACTCCAGCACAAGAATTCTTTTTGCCTCAGCCTCCCAAGTAGCTAGAAACAGATGTCTGCTATAACACCCAGCTAGTTGTATAAATTGTTTTTAGTAGAGAAATGGTTTTGTTCATTCATGCCAGTCTCAAACTGCGGAGCACAAGCAAATCACCCACCTTAACCTCCTAGAGTGTTAGGATTATAGGTGAGAGGCAAGCCACTTGACCTTACATACAAAATTTCCTAAATTAAAATCTT